GGGCAGCAGCTGCCGAGCCCTCAGAAAAACATTTGTCTTGGACTTCTCAGCTCAGACCTCATTCTGGCACTTGGCCGGCTTAGGCCCATTTCAGGCTCTGTGGTTGTCTAATTTCCAGGTTGAACAAGGACACTCTGTCACCACTTCCCTACAGACTGGGATATTAAAGGTGAGGCATGGAACAGAGGAGCTTTTACTGAGTTGTGCCCATGACGCTGGTGCAGCAGTGTGAGACACTTCAGTGAGGCAGCAGCATTGATACGTAGACTCAACAGGACTGCAGGAGCACTTAAGACAGTGTCATAAGGATACAGATTGTGGTGGTCCCTGAGGCCTGTCCAGAAGTGTTTGCAAGCATTACCGGTTTATAATGCACAAGTACCACTGGGGAGAAGGTGAAGGTGGAAGGCTAGAGCAAGTGTAGCACTCCATCTTCAGCTTGACAAGTAGATGAGAGCTCTGTTCTCTCCCCCCTTGTGTCTAACTGAGCCTTTCCATTATCTGTCAGTTTGTGGTGTTTGTGGTTAATTTACCTCTGGTGACAGCTTCCAAGTTTGCTTCAATGTTGGAAGAGTTCTTCTGGAAATCACAGGTGAATTGGCAGGTCTGAAGGGTTGACAGCTTGTCAAAATGTAGCTGCTATGTGCAGTCATCTAAGCTCTCATTCTTTCAATACTAGTATAGAACACAGGATTGACAGCCAGAGCCTGAAACTTTTTTTCACGGATCAGATAAAGCATACATGTGTCAGGGCATGCTCCTCTGATGTGCAGAAGTGTCTTCTGTCAACTATGGAGTTGGGAATTATAGCCATCCCTTTTGAGAGATAAAGTTACAGAGGTTGGGCATTGATATGTTAACATACCAACAACCACCCATCTTTTCCAACTGCAGGGAACTAAATAACCCTTTCCCTGTAGCCTGGGAACTGTAGCAAGCAGCTTTTGCTTTCTCCCTGCTCTGATAGCTCCCACACAGACTACAAGTCATTGGGGTTCAACCTCACCCTATTCTTCCCCTTCAGAAAATCCTCCTTAAGTGACTACTTGAGAGAGTGCTGCATCCTTGCCCTGAGTTACCAGGAAGGCAGCTGAGTTTCCATCTCTGCTGTTTGGTCTTCCCTGTACTGGGTATAGTGGCAGTTTTGGTAATACAGGATCCTCTCCCAGCAGAGCTCAAGCTGATGCTACTGAACTCCTTATGGGTGTATCCTAATTCCTCTTTGCTGACACCAAACTGGACAGAAACTGAACTAACAGCTTAAAATTTCCATCTTCAGTCACAGTTTCCTCCCAGACAAACCGATCTCTGTACACAACAAGAAGCCGATGGAAAGAAGCTCTAGTAGCTCTGGAAAACTTTTTGTCTTTTCCCCATCCCAACACCAACTATTTTGCAGCAAGAGAGCAAAAGCTGGTTATTTCCAACAGGATCTTTAAAGTATACTGACACCAACTGCCTGCTGAGTGTATGGTCTTTGCTGAGTGCATCTTCTTATGTGCTGCTTTGTGACAGTTCACTTTAGAGTAATTAATGAAGGACAATGTTATTCCTCCAGCAGGTCCTCTTACTTTCGTTTTCTTGCCTCTAACAGCCATGCAGGTGGATGGCAGAACAGGAACAGAACTGGTGTCTCCTGCATCCCACTCCTGTCGTGGCTCCTTCCTGAAAATAGGAAATTACTTTAAGCATATTATTATCTTTGAAAAGAAAGTATACAGTATTAAAGTCTCTCTCTCTTGCCTCCCTTCTGTCAGGAAGGACAACTTTTCACTTCTTTTCCTCCCTGTAATGAAAACTCTAAAATGGGGAGGGAGGGGGTTCATGCTGTTCTGTCTTAAAGTGGAGTGGGTAAGGAAGCCTGGTCCTGAAAAAGGTGCAAAAATGAGTTACTGAGAAAAAAAACAGGAGAGGAATGCTTCCTACAATAAGGACTAAAATAATTTTAATAAGCATGCGAGTGCTTTCCCTCTCAGATGTGAACACCTTTCCAAAATAATAGGAAGGAGAACGTCGGAAATCCAACCAGCCCTGAAAGTGGTGCAGTTTTTGATGAAAAAATACTTGTGTTTTTTCTGAAGTTGCCAGTATTTAAAGTATCTTCAGATTTAGTCTGTTCAGGGGTGAGTTTTCTAACTGGGGAAGAAGCAGAAATGAAATCTGAATATTTAGCTGGGCTCTTCAACTTAACCCTGTTTGTATTCTGAGAGTCTCTCGCAGCAAGTGCAACAGAGGCAGCATTTCTAACAAAGCAAGCTCCCAACTTGGGATTTCCTGGGGAAATAAAGCTGCGCAGAGCTCACAAACAACTCGCGGGTGCCTGGGCTGGAGTGTTTCCCCATCAGGATTAAAAACCTGATGACTTCTTCTGCCTGTGCACGTTGGAGAAGAGGAAGATAAGAATGTGTGTAAGTGTGGGCAGCATGCACGGCTGCTGAGGGGTTGGCACTGACACCTTTGTTGCTGCGGAGAGGGAAGTCCAGGCCTGGACTTGTGTCCCTTATCCCTCTGCTGTCTAGGCCACTGCCATGAAACAGAAACTGAAAGACATTGCTTTCTTCTGGCAGAAAAGCAGTTATGGGGAGACTGGTGCTGCTGTTTTATCGGGGTAAACAGACACTTTCTGGGCTTTAAAATCGGCCACTTCGTGTGTCTCTTATCTTCTTTAACCCCCCTCACTGCCAGGGATGTTCTTGGAGGTTGTCTTATCTAAACACAAAGCTGTCTGGATCAAGAAGTGTAGTGGCTTGTTTAAAGGCTGGTGGAAATACTGTGGTGCCAAGAAAGACTGCTTCTGCTTGTAAGTTTAGCAGCTGCCATGGTGTTAGCACAGCTGGAATCAAAATTGCTGCAGCTGCTGATGGCTGAAGTTGGGCGTCTCCCCAGATAACCTTTGGTGTCTGGCTGATCTGGTCACTGAGGGGGTCCTCTCTGTCTTCCACCCACTCCCAAATCTTTCTTGCAAATCCTTTCAGAATAAAATGTTTTGAGGAAGTGTGGCTGGATTGTTCAACATTTTAGCTGACCATTTCCAGACTTCTTGCTAGGGCTGTTTTGAAGTGCTTTTCAGGATTAACTCCTATGGGTACTAGTGATGACCAGAGCCAGGGCTGTGGCCATGTGTGTTTCTGCCTGGTCCGTTTGCATGGTCCCATACACGCCAAGTTTAGTATGCCTGGAGGTTTCACAGGTCTGTTTTTCACTATATGGAAATCATGACTTTTGCTTAGTTAAGCAGTTTGAATACTAACTAATGTGTCATTTTGTCCAGTTCCTCATTCTACATCTTAAATTTATGTCAACACTTTATTGAATCCTTTGCCTCCTGCAGCCTATCAAGACTAGCTAGCATGATTTTGACTTGAGGCACAATTCTGCAGCTTATTTCCACCTGTGCCCTCACTTTTTTAACTTGTGAACACTATGTATCCAAAAATGGGTTTTTATGTGCTGTTTCACTGGAGATGAAGTTCACTGTTTGTCCAGGAGTCCCTCAGCTTTCTTCAGTTTTCTTAGCTGGCTGTCTGTGGTTTAGCAAGGGCACAGGGAAGGTAGTTCATTTAATTATTTTGATCCCGTTTTCTGTGTTTGGTTTTGTGATGCTATGCAGCTGGCTCTGTCAGAGTTATTATATTGGTCTCCTATGAAATGTTAATTCAACTATAATATAGTAAATGAAAAGACACCAGACTTGGCAGGGTTTGGATGATGAAGTTTGTGGATGCTGCATGTAATGCCTGAACCAAGTATCCTCCAGCTGATTAAAATATGTTGGTAAACTACTTTTCTGCAGTACTGTGATAAGAATTGGTTCAGTGTCTGTATGTTTCACTTAAGGTGCTGAAATGTTTTCCAAAAGTAGATGAGTGGTTTCAGCTGTGCTTTACAGGTGTAGAAAACAGAGATACAATGTAGTAATTTGAAAGTCATGGGCTAAGGGATCAGTGGGACTCCCTGCTCTTAGACCTTGTTATGATCAACAGTGTTCTGCTGTTGACTGTAGTGATGTTTTAAAGATGCTTGGTATAAACTTGAACTGTATTCCAGTAGCAGGTACTTATTTAGGATATTTCATTTGATACCTAAAGTGATCAGCCCTCATTCTGAAGTTCAAATACTCAGTATTTCTGAAAACTGTGTTGCTCTAGAATGTGTTACACTGTGCTTTAAAAGAAACAAACAAACCAAAACCAAACCCAAACCGAAAATTGTAAATAGAAATAACTTTTAATATTCAGGCAGTTAATAAAGACATTATTAAAATTCTATTTTATGCAGGCCTGAACAGGTGTAGCGTTTAGGATCATACATTTCTCTTCTAGTCTTACTGTATGCTGTGTTTATAATCTTTTATTATCATTTTTATCATCTGAGACAAGCTTTTTGGATTTACTCTGTTGGGCAAGAATACCTTGTGGGAAATGTTCTTGAAACAGACATCATGACACACAATTGTACACAGCAATAATTTGGTTTTAATTAATTAATTATTAATATTAAATGTTGCGTCTTCCACATTAAATTTGGTAGGGAGATAAGCAGAGATGCAGAGTTTCATCAACTTTTAGTTCTTTTGCACTGAAGTGCAGGGACCATTACGTGATTTCATTCACCTGAAGGCTGTCGTGAGATTGAGTGGTCCTGGATCATTGACTCTGGAAAGTGAAGAGGCATGCAATTGAAAAAAGCTGCCTCCTATTCTGCACAAAAAGCCTGAAGCACCTGTGGCGAAGAGGCTGTATCTTAAAATGCACACGGCAAATTATAGTACAGTTCCATGAAATTAAGTAGGCTGTGAAAATCACTAAATGGCCAGTTTTGACCATAAACACAAGTCATGGGTTTTTCTTGTGCTGCTGTCCCTGTGGGGAAAAATGGAATAAGTTATTAGTTGAGTTCAAAGTTAATATTTTTACTACAAGTTGGTAGTGAGGATAACTATTCAAATATTTAGCATTTGCTTGTTTTCCTTCCAGGAATTGCAAAGCTCAGGAAGAGGACGCTTTCTACTGGAACGTGCTGCACCCTTCTCTGCTTTTTTGACAGACAGCTTTGGGCGTCAGCACAACTACTTGCGAATTTCTTTGACCGAGAAATGCAACCTCAGGTGTAAGTGTCTGCTTGCTTTCTTGCACAGAGCTCTTGCACCCCATATTGTACAAAGGCCAAGAATGGAGATAGGGTACTTCTTGCTGTGTTGGCAATAAGCACAAACTCTGTGCCGCTTCTTGTCTTTACAAAGTAGTGGTAAAGCACAGATAGAGACTTATTTGAGGCTGAGCTGCTGATGGGATGGGGAAGCAGAAGCAAGCCTCAGGATTGTTCAGAGACAGGCGGGAGTGACAGACCTTTCATCAGATTTGGAGTGTGGTTTGGATGATGGTGCTTGTAGATGTTTGCCATACCCAAGGTGTGTGATAAGCGCGAGAGCTCATACCTAGGCATTCCCACAATTATGTGTGCAAAATCTGTGGCATTAACCCAGTGCTTACCAGTTCAGTTTGTTATCTCTGTTTGAATGCAGATTACATAGAAATAAGATCAGCTTTCCTTTCAAAGTGGTTTGGTGTATGATCTTGTCTGTATTTCAGAAAAGCGAAGTCACTTGACATCCATTAAAGAAAGTTGCATGTGGTGCATTTTTCCTGTCAATATTACACTAACTGCTGCTGGTTATTTTTCCCCATGCATTTCTGTATTCTGTGTTTCAGGTCAGTATTGTATGCCAGAGGAAGGCGTTCAGCTGACCCCTAAGTCAGAGCTACTCACTGCTCAGGAGATAATCACACTAGCCAGGCTGTTTGTGAAAGAAGGTGTAGAAAAGATCCGACTGACAGGAGGAGAGCCACTTATCCGACCTGATGTGGTCGATATTGTGGGTGAGTTCCCAATAAAGTGTGTTTCAAAGTGACTTGCTATCTATTGATCCAACAACTATGCGTATAACTACCTACTAATTCAGTCTAGCAACCTGAGGAATAATTATTCATGAAATGATGGTGCTTTTTCCCAACACTGTGAAATGCAAGGTAGTTCCTTTCAGAAAACTTCCAGTTTTCCTCTCCTGCTTGAATGCAACTTACATCTCTTCATATTATAACAGCTGAACTTAGCATTGTCTTCATATTCAACGTCTTCTAGAATAGCCTGCAATAATGCAGACTTGAGGTGAAAAAATCTAGAACTGATGTGTCCAGGTCCTCACTGGGGAGGAACAGTTGATATGTACTTACAAACAAAAGAGGTTTTCATTTGGATTTTGGGAGCTTATTGTGGTTTTGTTTTGTTTCCATGATAACAGATGTCACTTTCTTGTCTTTGTTTAATAAGGAATGATGGAAATGCCTGTGTTCTTACAGTTATTGATTAATACTGTAACTTCAGTGGAAGATAAATTACGGGGTAATTTTTAGAAGTCTGTGTCCTTCAATTGGTATTGTGTTGACTGACTGTGCCTGTTGTTTTTCTTGAGCTCTAGGTCCTGTTTTTCCTGTCAAAAGTCTCACGTGTTACGGACACTGCAATAGCTTCATGTAGTTTCAATGTCTTAGATTAAGGCTATGTAGGTGGGTGCACTTTGGTGTATTGTTGGCAAGTGAACTTGTCTGTTTCTGCACGAATACCCTTAAAAGTACTGAAAATAAGAAAGAGTTAATATGGAAGATGAAGATCTTGAAAGTAGAGTAACTGCCTACTGATACACTGAGCTTTGGTGCAGAGAACAACTGGTCTCTGCTCATGCTTTGGTTTTTTTTTTCAGGATTTGGAACACCTTTGTGGTCTTCTCCAAAAGAAGCAGCAGAGCAGTGTAGTACGTAGAACGGACCTGTTATAGCTGGAAAAGGTGTGGCTAGAGTGAGCTGACGTGGGTCTCCTTGAACCTTGATTGTGAGGAGTCCTGAACCTGCAGTAACTTCATTTCTTTGGAACTCTGGAATACCATTCTGTAGGGCATTTTGCCCATGTATGATAGGTTATTTTTATTTAGGATTGAGAGAGCTATGTGCCTTTCAAGAGACCTGTTTCTTTCAAGAAGGCTTTCCTGACGTCTAGTAATAATAGGTATAGTTATTTTTAGCTGGCTTTCACCAGACAAAAGGGGAACAGACTTATAAAATAGGTTGTATTTTAAATTATAATACAGCTTTACAGTTCAGTATATAGTAGTAGCATGAAAATGAGTTGAAATGAACAACATCATCAGTTCAGTGCAGAACTTTTTCTAGTGTATGCACCTATTTGATTTTTCAGTGGTAGCTAGTGGCATTTTACACTCAACACAGCTGCTTTGATGTTGGGTGTGTAGGTTGAGTAGCCAGGTCACTGCAAAGTAATTACCACATTGCTGTAATTCTGAAATACTGATATTGGAAATACAGAAAGCTTTTTATTTGTTTGTTTTACTGCAGCGGTAGAATTCTCACAGGTTTATTTCTGTGGCTGAAAGAGGGAGGTGGATCTTTTTGAACCACTGGGCTTTCATTATTCTCCCTGTGTTCTTGTTCACAGCTGAACTTTGACAGATTCATAGTGATCATTTTAATGGCTGACAAGAGAGTAGTGATCTTGGGGTAAAGATAAGGGATGTCAAGATGAGTGTCCTGTTGCATTAGTTCATTCTGTCATGAATTTGCATTATGCTGGCTGGTTGTTTCTAAGGCATATTGAAAATTGGCAAATTAAGTCTATATATACACTTTCTGTCTTCTCAGACTTTGGTGTTACTCTGTGGTGCACAAGTTTGGGATCAAGAGAAAAGTCTCAAAACTAAATAGATCACATGTAACAACTATGGGAAAATTCATTGAAGGGAAAACAAGCTCAAAAATATCTTTTGCAGAATTTGAGTTTGGCATGTTTATTGAATCCATCTTGGCAAAATGTACTGGTTTGGGCTGGGGTAGAGCTAATCTGGATTTCTAGATGGTTTATAGAAGCTGGTTACAATATCTCAGGTGCTGAATAGGGTTGAGGTTTAAGTTAGGTTTGTTTTCAGCAAATCTTCCTTTTAACCATAAATGGTTTGTGAAATGCTAATAAAGCTCAAAAATATTTATGCTGGGTTACTATTACTGTATCTTTCTAATACTCAACTTCAAACTCTTGTTTCAATGAACAAGTGTGATTTGAAGCTACTGTAGGAGACGATGTTATCAAAGATGTGCTATGGTTCTTTAGATTATTTCAAATCTTCTTTTAATGTATGCACATACATAAACTATGACATGGCAACTAACGCTTGCTGAAAGCTAAATTATGCCTTGGGGACTGCTGAAAACATGTTTGAGGCTTTTCTGAAGCAGCTGATGGTAGAATATAGAATCTCTCCTTTGGGATAATCATAGTTTAAATTAGCACCAGCTATAAACTTGAGTGATAGCTGTTTATTAGTAGTAGTCACATCTCCACTGACAAAATCATTTTCCACGGAGTGGGGAACAGACAGTTTGATTTTTTTTTTTTAATTTTTTTTTTATAGCAACATACACATTTCAAGAGTGAAGTGGTAGATTTGTAAATTCATCTATTAGTAGATATACACACCTTTTCTGGTCTTAATCAGAAGTGCAATTGAGGAAACAACTGGAGTAGAATATGTAAGAAACTTCTCTGTTTAAGAAGATGCTCCTAATCCTAAAAGAAAAATTAAATGTACTTGATGCCTTGAGCCTGACATGTAAGCTTTTAGTTTCATGCTATTGAATTATAGCACCTGTTCTATTTCCTTTTCTACCAGATAGTTTTATCAGTTGCCTTTGCTTGTGCTAATTGTTCCTAAAGCAACGGCCAAAGGTCAGCAAGCAGACTTAGTACAGGTACAAGGTGAGTTACGAGGCTGTGAAATCTCTTTAATCCCTTTTGAATTTAGAGGACAACAAGCCAAGAAACTAAGCAACTGCAAATGTTCCACTTCTTAGCTTGTACAAATAAGGCAGAGTATACTAATTGGTCCTTTTAAACTTGTTGGTGTTAGTGTTAAGTCTCCATCTCTAATTTCTCACGGATGGCTTCGATCCAATTTGTTATTACAGGTCATTTCACATATTAGTGTATTTTCAGGGCTTCATCCTGTATCTCCTGTTTGATAAGGAAGAAGATGCACTGGTAAGAGCTGCTGTCTGCACCAACTGACCTGATCAGCTGGTGCTACTTTTTTTAATTTTTCCATTTTAGGCTGCAGAATGGCCTTGGTTTTATTGAACACATTTATGCATTTCACATTTCTAGCAATGAAGCCTGTATGTCAGCTAGTCTTTTTTTCTTTGTTGTTAGGAGGCTGAGCATTCTGTGTGTTCTGAGATATAAATAAAAGTAGTGGTGTTCCTACTCTATCCTCTGGCTGCAGTGTGTATCCTATGCTGTCACAAGCACTTATCCTCTAGGAAAAGTTTGTACCTGGTCAGTGAGGAGGATTTTGAAAGGTGAATGTCACAAAAATCTAGTTGTTAGTAAAGATTACTCTTTCTTTGCAACTTCAGGTTCCAAATGTCTTTATAGGACTCCTAATTGTGTTGCAAAATGCTGCTGCGTAAGCTTCAGCATGCTTGGTATGATCCAGCTTGTCCCATTCCAGAGTTTTGGGCTAAGCTTAGAGAGTAGCTGGGAAATGAGATAAAGAAGTAAAGCCCTTATCGACATGAACAAATAGAAATAAAATAGGGAGGGAAGACGGGACTGTGAAATATTTGTGCTGTAATTAAAGCTGCTTCAAGAGTAAGGGTTCTTCAAATATTTCTCAACTCAGTAGGGTGGAGGCTATGAGAGAAGGGAGGAGGAAAATTACTTTGCCATGGCTCTGCTTCTGCAAGTGGTTTATGAAGGTTTTTTCCTGTTTGTTATTATACTGATAACTGGAGGAAGCCTGGCCTCTGGAGGTCTAGTATGCTGAGGATTTCTGCTTTTGGCTTATGAGATGGCAGCTATTTTCTAAATCTTAATCTCATTACATTAACTGTTTCTTATGTGGTTTTCTTAGCCATTTTTTAGTGTCTTTAGTTTAGTCTCTTCAGTTGGCTGGGCTATCACTGTGGGTAATGGAAATATTTCAGTTGTCAAGTTCAAGTGTTTTGTCCCTTGGATATCGTTGCCTTGGATTCTCTGTAAATGTCTGATATGTTGACCCTTTTCTGTTTAGTTAGGAGTGTATGTGGTATTTCTTTCACCAGTTTAAAGTCGTTACTGCTGACAGCTACCTCTGGGTTAGAACTGTTTTTTGGTAAAGCATAGCAGGATAAATGTTGCTAGATAAATGCAGCTGGTTCAGGTATGAAAAGACAGCTTGCTGCTTATTGTTATTGCAAAACACAGAATTCCGTTTGCAAAGCTAGATTGAGGAAAAGAAGATAAACAAAATCAGAGGCCTTCTTCCTACAATGCAGTAGCAATTTGCTCTAAGAAATGAAGAACAAAATTAGCGTGCATTTTTAGTGTTTGTAACCAATTTTGTTTGCAATAAACTACTGTCTTTCATACTTCTTGAAATGAATTTGTGCTAAAATGAGCCTTATAAACCAATACAGCTGGAAGAAGACTGAAGTGTCCATGTTTTCCTCATACCCTCAGTGACTTTTTTTTTGTTTCACAAATCTTGTAGGTTTTCTGTGTAACTTACAGTTGAATTACTTATTTTAAAATGTTCTTTATACTTTTTATTTTCCTAGGACAACTGTACAAGCTGGAAGGGCTGAAAACCATTGCTGTCACAACCAACGGGATCAACTTAGTCAGACTGCTGCCCAGACTGAAGGAGGCAGGACTGAATGCCATTAACATTAGCCTGGATACTTTGGTCCCAGCTAAATTTGAGTTCATTGTCCGGAGGAAAGGTACAGGCTTGTCTTCTAAGGCAACCATGTTAATACTTGCCGTAATGTTGTGAGTTGATTGGTATGTCTTTCACAGTGTTACTTTGGGAAGAGAGTGAATTGTTGTCCTTCTGAGGCTAGAAAAATTAGTCTATACTAGCTTATTTGATAGTGACTTTTTCCTTCTTTCTACAACCCTTAGGCAGGTAAAGCCCCTTTAGTTGGAGCAGGTAGAGTAGAAGATGCTCAGCTCACCACAGTCAGTGTGACTGTGAATGGCTGATTACTGGTTAGTCATGGATAACAAGAGGACTCTCCAAATCTTGTGTTGGTCTCGTATGCTGCTCTTCTTCAATACACTTCAAAAAACAGATGTTCCTGCTGCATTTCTTGTCATGAATAGCGGTAGTTTCTGGAATTTATATTTAAGGCATGCTAGCAGTAGTCTCATTTGTTATTAGTGATGTTTCCTACATCCACTGCTTTTTAATAGCTATAAACGTAAATGGTGGTTATTTGCAGAGTGGTGCTAGCTTCATAACTTCTCTCCGATTGAGTTAGTAATTCTAAATGAAGTTTCAGAAATGTGTGGATGTGCCCAGTGTTACAGATTCTTGTTTAAATGAATCCTAAAGCTCATCATGAAGTTCAGCTTCATCACTGGGCTTTCTTCCAACTCGAAACTGATTTGATCTTGTATCACTCTATTTCTGTCCAGTAATGCAACTTTGGCAGTCTGTGAACAAAACCTCCAAGTAGCCACTAGATGGTGCGATGATGTCAGATAAATCTAGGGCAAGGGATGTAGAAATCTGGGGTACTGTGAAAGGGAATTTCAGTGTCTGAATCACTCTGCTATAAAATCAAAGTTCTGCTGGCAGGTGCAGAAAGGTGGTCTTGTCTACAGTCTCTCTGGGAGCGCTTCCTCAGCTTTCTACATTATCGTGCAGAAATCTGTTCCTGTCATAAACGTTACTGGAGCATTATCCTTCCAGTGCAGGCTATTGCATTAATCTGGTTGTGTCATGGCACAGTTATGCTCTCAGAGAAGTATTTGGGAGTATCTAGTCACAAGCAGGTGTTGCCTGTGCTCTTTCCTTCTGCACTTTGCATTTGAATATTACTTGGTTTGTGACATTAACTGGGAACAAGCCCTTCATTTGCTACTGAAGGGGCAAACCTGATCCTCCAACTTCCTGAATTACATGACCGCAGCTTTTCATATCTGATTCTGTTAGGAATGTTCTGCTTATAAAGTAAACTAAAAGTTACTGGGGGAGGAGGGTAATTATTTTTTATATATATAAATGTTCTCTTCCCCTCTTCCACCTTTAAAAAAAAAAAGATCATTAAACACAAAGAAAAATTGCTCAGCTGAATAGCATAGAGAACAAATATGGAAGTTTCTATTATTCAGTATTTTTAAGGAGAAGAATAAAGTCTCCAAATCATAGATAGGGGGTTTTGTTGTGTTGGTTTGGTTTGTTTTTTTACATGGAGATCAGCTAAAAATAGTAATGCCGAGTTGGGTTTTTTCTTTTGTTAAGGGCTAAAACCAATAAAAAGTACTTTTACATAATTTTTGAGGGTTTTTTATTTAATAGGAGATTTCCAAGTCTGGAATGAGCACAGAATAAGTCCCTGCCTTACTGTGCTACCCTGTCTCCTGTGGCAGTTCCAGAGACAAGAAGATATAGCTCTTTTAAGGTTAGGCAGATTCCTGGTCTTAGACACCTACAGGCTGGTAATTTGTGGGAAGTAAAGGTGGCAGCTGATCATGGAGCTAACCAGGAACTCAAGAAACTTGGAGTCATTTTTTTCTGCTCCTCTGGAAACTCATTTAGGTTTTTAAGAAAAGGTTGGAATTTTATATCTTTGGTGCAGGTGACCTGCATTACACCTGCTTTTATTCCCAAATGGCTGGGATAGAGGGAATGGCTGAGATGATCAGAGATTTCACTGATGTATGAAAGCACATCAGAGGACTGTAATATTCTTACTTTTCCCCATCTACCACATTCTAAAAGATGAACAAATGTAAAGTACTTTTTTACAGGTAGCCAGTCTAGCCTGTTTCACAGCCTGTCCCTTCTTTTTTGTTTAGTACAAGGAATATGAGATAAAACTACTTAATTGAATCATTAAACATTGATTGGAGCCTTTCTTCTTGTAAGGATTAAATGTTGCAAGGTGTTGTTCCACATAGGGTTGTTCTGGATGTGTCTAAGGTTCTCTGTGCTTTAAAGTTGGCTAAAGTTATGATTTTGGAAGAAATCTAAAATGATGAAAATGTTTCAATTTTTAATTAGGTGAAAGAGAAGAAGGATTGTAATTTTGAAATATTAAACAAAAACTTACAGAACTTCTAAGACTTGACAGTATTTCCTGATGCAATGACATCTAGTATTCATATCTGCTCTAATATTTTAAAATGTTTTGGTTTTATCCTTTTTGTTGTTCCATTACCACACAAGAACTTTGATCTAGAAGGGATGTTTCAATAAGTGTGACAATACAAATGAACACCTAACAGCTTTATAGAAAGGGAAAACAGTTAGCATCAAAATACGAAATGAAGTTACAGATTTTTATTTTTTTACTGTAACAAGTTTACATTTTACATAATCCCTCTGCTCCCTCATCACTGTTTTGTTTTGGTTTTGTTTTTTTTTTTTGAGTGGGAACAAGCTCATAGTTGTTGTTAATCAGAATAGCTTAGTTGTTTGTCTGTAGGCATTTTTGGTAGCTGTTCTAAACCACACGCCTGTGCTAACATGGCAGAAGGCAAGAGGCAGAGCTGGGAAGGACGTGCATTAGATCCATTGCAAGATGTGATCCTGTTCCATACCTCTACAGCGAGCTCAGCCCAAACATGCAAGTATTCAGTGGAGTTTTTGATCTGCTGCTTGCTAGTGGTTGCTTCCTGCCCTTTTTAGTTATGTTCACTTTCACCTTTCTGCCATCCTAAAGTCACACATAAGGTTTTCTGAGCTATTGCAGAGCTTTTTGATCCCCTTCATGGTTCTGGGTTGTGCTTATAGCAGTGTATCAGTATCTCTGTCGCCACATTCAGCCTGTGAACTTGCTTAATTGGAATGAAAGCTGCCACCGGTGCTGCAAACTTCGCAGGTGCATGCAAAACAAGTCAGTGGCAAAGGAGGCAGGTGACAAGTCGTAACTTCAAACAGTGGCTTGCAAGAGCTATGTCACTGTCATCTCCTTGCTCTTCACCTCTCTCTTTGCAGCCAGGACTAGCATTAGGACCAGCTTATGAAATGGTCAGCATCTTCTGCTCTCCTGTGTCCATGCTTTACCAATCAGAACGCAGTTAAGTGAAAGTTTCATGTCTCTCCCCTTCTCTTCTGATCCTGAACACATCCAATATTAAGTATGCACTGATTATTATTGAGTTATTGCTTATTTCTGCAATATTTTCTTATTAAAGCACCTACAGATTAAGGAAGGTATGATCTTTTCACTAGAGAACCTGAGTTTCTAGTAGATAAGAGAGAGGGGAAGGAGGCTGATGGACCTGCACAGAAAAATGTATGACTAAGAAAGGAACAGGGATTTGTCAGCACAAACTTCTGGAAGATATTGCCCTTTTGCTAGCACGTGCAAAGTATTTGCTGTTGAAGACTACAGCTTTGGAAGAAGGAGCTCTGTCTCATACAGTGTTTGGTTTCTCATACCTGAGTTCAGTATGCAGCACAGGATGGGAACTTAGTCTAGTACTTGATGGGGTAGGAGAAGACATTCACAAACACGGTGCTAGCAGCTGAGCGCACCCACTCACCAGAAATACGTGCCCAGAGCTCAGTAGCTTGCTGTCTCATCCTCTGTCACCTTGTTTCTCTGCCAGCTGGTGAGTGTGGCAGGGGAGGCATAATATGTCAAGTCTAAAATTGATATCTTGATGAAAGGTCTTAACTGTGTTTAAAGTGGACAGGTGTGGTTTGAATGATATGATTAAGAGGCTTTCCTAAAGGCCTTTGGAATTCCAAAATTGCATTGTTGCTGTATTTCTCTTTCAAATTTGAGGTATGTGTAGAGATGCCCTAAATTAACTATATTCTTGTGTCTGAGAGCAGCTGACAAGTGAAGGCCATACTGAATGGTAGGGTGAGGCTGGGCACTTCATTCCTTGAAGTCACTGCAGTTTTTGACATCTTTCATTTGTTTTCAAAGGTCAAAGGCCAAATGAATTGCTTTCCTAAATGCTCTAATCCCCCCCCCCCCATGCTGTGCTCATCAATTTCAAGTGTTTAGTCATAAAAAATTATGACCTTGTAAAATCCTGCCTGTGATCTTCAAACTAGTGGATACTCAGTAGATTTGAGAAGCCAATTACATCTGTAGCCAGGGACAAACAGGGAATTGAGGAGCTTTCCTTTGTTCCTAACCCCACTCCCCTCCTCATGCACTTTAGAAAGATCCTTTTAAAATTCACTAAGCAATATTGCTGTCTGGCTCAGAACAGTGAGATTCTGCTACTTTAGTGAAGACACAATATTATAAAATAAACATTAATTTATTATTCTTTCTGCATTGTCCACAAATGCTTTCCACTCCCTTTAAGAAGACATAACACAAGGCAAAGCTGACGTATGGGGAAGTGGAGAATCATATGCTACGGATACATGGATGTCCAAACATGCAGAAAAGCATAGCAGTATTTTTGACTACCCAAATGCCATCTCAGTGACTTGAAAACAGTAACACTGGCAGCCTCTGGGGGGTGTGTAGAATTAGTGTCTCTTTACTTGCAGCTTTTTTTACTTGCAGCCCTGTCCACTGAATCAGATTGGTGTTTATTTGTCATCTTTTTGTATTGTACTTAATAACCTCCTTTTGCATTCTGTTTTTAAGCAAAAAAAAATAAATTTTTTCTGTTTATATCTTAGGCTTTCACAAGGTAATGGAAGGAATCCACAAAGCCACTGAACTCGGCTACCGCCCTGTTAAGGTAAAGCTAATGTTTATTTACACTGAAACTGTTGTGTTTTTCCATAAATTGTGATTAAAGATACAGCTCACCTGATAAGAAAGTTGTTATTTCTCCCTGCTCTGGGAATAAATTTTGGTAAAACTGAAGAAAAATTTTAGTAGATTGAAGGTCACATCAAGAGGTAATGGGGGAACTTCATGTAATCTCCTTGCACAGCTGAGGGTACGTGTTCATATTGCCACAAAGCCTGTCGGTTGCCTCGCTGCAGACTACAGGGTGGTCCTGCTGTTTGTCTCTTCCTGCCCCCTCTGTTGATTTGGCACTTGTCTGACCCAGCTGTGAACTTGACCAAGGGAGTTAACAGGCAGAAAACTACCCTGCAGAAAGTCATTAATTTTCTTCTGGTTTATCTCCTTCCACTGCTTACAGCAGACTCTGATGAGTGCCAGTGTGAGAGAGAAGGAAAGGGAGTCCTCCTTTGGGGGCGTGCAGGTAGACCAACTTAGCTGTAATGTGAAACTTCACTTTAACTCAGCTGTTTGCACTTCTGCAGCTGTGCTTCCCTTCATCTATTATGTTTAAGTTGTTTAGGCTACAGAGCTATGAAAAACACTTGAAATTAAACCAGGTTTTAGGCTTTCCTGAAAGATCTTAAGAATTGTGGTGCACAATATTTGGACATACAAGTTTGCCTTGCTAACAGGGAGTTTTTTAGCAACTGCACAGGCATCACAAAGGACCTGAGGTTCCAATGTAAACATTGTTTATGAGAAATGTGTGGAAAACTCAGTTTTAACCTCTTTTTGGAGGAAGGCAGAGCTAGTCAACCTGCAGCCTATGGTTATGGAGTGTGCTGTGAACAGTTCCTGGTCTGGGGAATTTGCCTGTGATCTGCCATCAAGAATGCTATAGAAGGTATCCTGCCAGTGCTTTTACAGAAGCCATATAACAGAGAACTGGGCAGTGGAGTTGCTATTTTAGACAGTAAAAGCTGCCATACCTTAGGTGGGTAAAATGATGCCTTTGTTGTCTAGCTTTTATTAGTTTTCCACTTAGCAAGGCAACTTAAACAACTCTAGTTAGGCTGAATGCAAAAACATACAGGCAAGTTTGGCAAAAATTATCATCTATCCATTGCAGTCCTGCCAACTTCTCTCATAATTTTTTCTTTCAAAAAAAATGTTTTTTTCTATCTATGTTGCCTTCTGCAAGGTCTGTGATACTTTGTGTAAGAGGGAAAAAAGTCATACTCTGTTCACTAATTTAGGCATCTGTTTTTTCCTGCAGGTAAACTGTGTGGTGATGCGAGGCTTCAATGAGGATGAACTGCTGGGCTTTGTGGATTTCACAAAGGATCTGCCCCTTGATGTGCGGTTCATTGAATACATGCCCTTTGATGGTAAGCAGTCCTGCTTTGAGATTCTCCATGGCGGCATCTTGGACATAGGTGGTTATTAACCCTCTGGGCTTGTCTCTGGAAGTTTTGATGAGCTTTGTTTGGGAATTAGGTATTGCCTGAAGTTTTATGTTGCATCTTTTGCAGCTTATCTGTCTTCCCTGGATACACTGGAGAAGGATTAATGGTAGGATTAGTAGGGACTGAGACACCTACAGGGAAAACTGAGATTTGTGGAGAATGTAAAGGTTGTTCTCTGCTAATTAAAAAAAACCAACAAAATCCACTGTCTAAAGTTACGCTGGTTTTGTTAATTCCAGGCAATAAATGGAACTTCAAGAAGATGGTGAGCTACAAAGAAATGCTTGATACAATTAAACAGCAATGGCCTGAACTGGAGAAATTGCCCTGTGAAACTTCCAGCACAGCCAAGGTGGGATTACACAAAGAACATGTGAAATGTGCCCCTGCTCTTCCCCTGCCCTGAATCCCCAGATCTTCCCAAGTTTAGCATTTATATTTGACAAGCAAAGTATAAAAACCTCAGTGTATTAACTCTGGGATTTTGGTCAAGCTGCCTTCATGTGCTTTGACTTTTACTAGAAACACTGGTCACAGTCTTTACCTTTAGAAATACAATGTGTTTACTAGATGCCTTGGTTGCATATAAAGAATGGCAGGGTTACAGTCTGTATTTACAGCTTTTGAAACTTTTGTCAGTCTATGTCTGTCTATGACTGCACGTTAAAAAGCCTGATGAAACAGTTGTTCAGTGAAATAACAGTGTTCCTTTAGAGTGTGTAGTGTCACATGGGGGATTTCTAGCCTATACGAATCTATGGCTCATGGCTGCCTGAGTGAGAACATACCTACTGGCATCGTCTGTCAATTGATAACTACAAGAGCAAACATTTAACAAGTTTGTGGATTTCCAGGAATGGGACAGAATAGACTGGAAGCCCTGACAAAGTTGATTTTGCTTTTTTTTTCCTCTAATGTGACCTTTAGATCTGAAGAAAATCTGTGTTAAAATGTCTTCTGGTCTTTGGGTGAGTGGAGCTTTAAAAATGAGGAATCTATATTTGACTTCTTTTCTTTTCTCCTCTGCATTTCTTTAGAGTTATAAGGTGCCACATTTCCAGGGACAAATCAGCTTTATCACCTCCATGTCGGAGCACTTCTGCGGATCCTGCAATCGGCTGAGGATAACAGCAGATGGGAACCTAAAGGTTGGTAGTGAAACGTGATGCTCTCCGCTTTCATGCAACGAAAATAGTGTTGAAATTCTTTCCTTAAAAGTAGCTGGGATGGCAAATAGGATGGAAAGATGCATAATTATTACCAGCTAACTTCTGTTTATGTATGTATGTTTCTGTATGTATTCTTGTTCAAGCTTGTTGGGTTGTTAGGGAGATGTTACATCACCTTGTTTTGGTTGCTGCGTTTTGCTAACATAGTTTACTCCAGTTGTAAAACATGACTGCAAGGCCAGTAAATAGAAACATTTATTTTAATCTTTGATTCAGGATCATCTTAAACATGTGACGAGCAGATGATTTCCCATTAAAAAAGTATCCAAGCAGCTGTGAGGACTTGGCTTTTGTGTTCCACAAGGATCCGGTCTCGTTTCACCAAATGTCTTCTTGCAACCCTCTTCCTTCACAAGCAGCCTGTACATTTGCTCAATGGCTGTAGAAAAGGGAGGGATAACCATTTCCTGCCACGCTGAAACTGGCAATTTAAAGTTTTAAATTAAAAATTGGCCCTTATTTATGCATTGTCACCTGATATTGACAACAGCTGTGCTGCTGTCTAATGTCAGATGGCCAAGGCAGCCTGAAGGCCCAATGAGCTTAGGTTACATAAACATCCCAGGTTGGCTGTGTGTGTACATGAAGAGAGATAAAGAGAACAATCTCTATAAATGCTTGCTTTCTTCAGTAGGATAGGCATCTTCAAAACTTTACTCTGAGGTTAGTATGAATACTTGTAAAAGCCATTTATTTTATTCTTTCTCATTTCTCCTCTCTTGTTTCCTTGGGTTGGCTGCAGGTGTGCCTTTTTGGGAATTCAGAAGTGTCCTTGAGAGATCACCTGCGGTCAGGTGCCTCAGAGGAAGAGTTGGTTCAAATCATTGGAGCAGCAGTGAGCAGAAAAAAGAAACAGCATGCTGGTACGTTTGTTGTACCAGAGAAGTACCAGCAGTGACAAGGGAAAACAGTGTCCTGGTGCTGCTGTGGGAGGCATTGGCTTGCTAGGAGAAAAAAAGAAGGAAAAGCTTTTTGAGTGATGCTGCATTAATTAAGGAAAGAATTTTCCCACCTCATAAGAGTATTGTCTGGTAGAAAGCTGGTAACATACTGGTCTGCGGTTACTCCAGAATCTGGATGTCAGTTTTGAGTCTTCTAACCTTCCACATAAGCTAGAATCCAGACCGTCTAAAAGTCTTTCAGACTGACTTTTGTCTTCAAGGAGATGCAAATACCACTGCTCACATTAACAACAGCAAAACATAAAGCTAAGCAAAAATTGATGGAGTTGTACTGCATCCTTTTTTTTCTTAAAATTAGTTTGCTGTAAAATAAGCACTAAAGCTAAATTGAGCTGTTGGTCCAACTGCTGCATTAACACGTTTCTAGAAGTGACAAATCTCTTTGAATATTCAGAAATTCCTAGCCACTCATCTAGTTCTCTGCATAAGGTACACGAGGATGCAGTCACATCCTCTGGCTGTGTTAGTCTTCTGAATTTGTATTGATATAAACTATATTTCAGTTACATCTGAACCTAACCATATTTTTGTAATCTGGCTGCAGCTGGGAATGCTGACCTCTTGTACATGAGCTGGCTTTATGATCATGGAATAATCCCCTTTACACTAAAAATATGCTTTGACCCTTCTGTTCTCTTGCAGATTCTGCCAGATTACTAACAGTTGGGTTTGCCATTTTTTCATGATGTGTAAAACAAATTTAACGGAAGCTTTTAAATCGGAGTGTAGACTAACTTGCAAAGTACATTGGTTTGACCCAGATAAAATAGTGCCTTGTAAACAGAAGGGAAGGGATGGAGAGATTGGTTTCTTTTCTTTTAGACCATTTATTTCTGAGTTTCTGATTTGGGAAAGCAGCAGGGCAGATTTCTGATTGGGAAAAACAAGGCGCAGGGAGAGCAGAGTGTTTTCCCCGCTAGTAAAGGCATTTTTGCCATCAGCAACATTCACCTGACATTGTCTGTCTTCAGATTTGTGTTGAACCCAATATTGTCCTTGGGGACTTCTTTGAACTGGAACATTGTTAACGGCTTATCCATAGTACAGTTAAATGCTATTGTTAAGAAACAAGATAGTCCCAAGTTGTTTGAATTCTGTAGTAAGTAGACTGTAATTCAGATTATAGAAAGCTTTGTGGGAAGGGGTTCTACAGTGTGATAGATCCATAGCAGTTGGATGCTTGGAGACCATGGCAGCTATGGTTTTAAATAATGCCATGCTAGATTCCCCCTCCTCCAGCCTCCTTGGTCCTTATTAAGCTTTAGTTTTTCTAGCATGCAGGTTACACTGTGAAGAGCAGATAACTAAATATATAAACCAGATGCATGACTTAAAATCTAAAAAGCTAGGATTTTTATGTGTTCCTTATTTTATTTCTAGGCATGTTTAACATTTCCCAGATGAAAAACCGTCCAATGATCCTGATCGGTGGGTGACAAATCAGTACGTAATAAACATACAATGATTTTGTATGTTTTTTGTCTTTGGGGGAGCAGAGTGGATTGGGCTTTTAAGGCTAACTTGTATCTGGATCTGGCTTGGGTTTAGAGAAAGTAATGGGTTTCTTAAAAGGCAGTCATGGTTAACATGCTGAAGTGGAAGAGGAGGAAAGGTTTAATGTCCCTACCAACCTGTATCCAGTCTTCTGATAGCACCGTTTTTCTCTAATTTTGAAAGTTCATTACATTTTGCAAAGGGATCACTAGCTTTCCTATCTTCCTTTCTATCTGCTTCTTTTGTACTTAACAGGAATAGTAGAGTCATTTCTGAGGCAATTTGGGGTGACTTTTATGAAACTGACCAGGTTGCCAAATAAACAGGAAAGATGCAGGATAGACTTTTATCCCTTGATTAAGAAATTCAACTTTGCTTATGATATAAAAGAGCCAGTAACTTGACCAAAATGCAAGTTTTCCCACCTCACCATTACTTTACTTCAAAATCTGAAACTTGGGGCTTCATTCTTTTGAAATGTCCTCTTATTGCAAAGTCTCAGAACATAACCATGAAAACTGCAGTAGCTGGTATCTGACTGCCCCTGTGGACCAAGAGCCTTTCTTCTGGTGGCTGTTGAAGATGTTTCCCTTCTGCTTGGCTCTGTTCAGGAGTGAAGTGGCACTGCTAGGGTTCTCTGACTGATTTTTCACATCTCCTTCAGTGTTGTTTTACCTTCTCCATGCCTACACTTCCCTGTTTTGTAAGACAGCTGTCTTCCCAAATACCTTTTTTTTTTTAAAGTCTCCCTTAGACTCAAGAAATGCTTGCAAGACTTAGCTTTGTCAGATTAACTAGAAGTTGTTCTGTTGGTTTTTTTATCAACAAGGGGAGGAAGAATGCAGCAAGGGTGGAAGAAATAAACATTGTGTTTCAAACCCAAACTCTCAACTTCCATTGATGCTCTAGAGCAGCTTAAAACATAGCTTTTAGAACAGGTACCCTTGGGGAGGGTAACATGCATTAATTTGCAGGTCTTTGCTACAGATGATATAACAACTGCTTTTTTTAAATCAAGGCCCTAGTGCTCGTACTTCTGTTGCCTTTAGTAGGAAATAGGATCTACAGAGGTCTCTTAACATAGGTTTTTTTATTTGATGCCTCTCTCTAAAGGGCCATCATTTTCCATGTTGAGTTTTGCAGTGAATGGATTCAGTGGTGCAAAACTGTCTCTCTCAGTTTGCTTTTGCTCTTTTGTATTTGGCCTCTTCTGCATTATGTTCCAGGAAAAGGGGAGAGAGGACCCTTTGTTTAAAGTGTGTATTGACTTGCTACACGAGGAAAAAACTTCTGGTTTGTTTTTTTTTGTTTAGTTGGTTTTTTTAAGATGAAAAAATACTATATTAAACTCTTGACAGCTCACTGGGACCTATGTAATTTTTCAAGATGCCTCTGAAAGAATCCCCCCCAGTCCAAAGTTAGCATTCGTAGCAGTGTTTGGGTGTCTACAGATCAGATCCTTCCAGTTTGCTTTTGAAAATTGCTTTAGCAGTAACAGAGGCAGCTGGTCCAGGTCTCCCCAGCTGTTCACGTCCCTTCGAGACTCAGTGCTGGCAGTCATCGCATCAGTGGAGAGACAGGACAGGAGTTAAGAGCATCCCACTGTGACACACGGGGAATCATTAGGAGATTTCCTAATTGCGTTTTGAGTTACAGACTAACTTCAAATAATGCTGCAAGCAGTCAGCAGAGAGGTGTGTGTATGGAATTAATTTAATGAAACTTAATGAACGCTGTGGAAATCACTAATTTGGTTTTGCTAGTCCCAGTAAGCCAAACCTGGCTGCTTCCCTGCACTGCTGTCATCTGATCCTCTGCTATATGGCTTGTATCCTATTTCCTTTAATCAAAATATTCCTTTTGGCAGGTTGTTCTCCTCATGGGTTCACTTCAGTTAGGGGAATTTCCTCCTTAATTTAAGCATCTTCTGCCTTCTTTCCCCACCCTGAGACTGTGCTAGCTGGAAGCTAACACAGTTAAACTTCAGGTGAGGTAACGGAATATAAGGAGATGCAGTTTGTCAGATGGTTTCAGTCATGTTATACATAGTGCTGTAAAAAAACAATTACCTGTTTTTTTTGTAGGTATATGAGCAGTTTGGGTGAAGATAGAGATGACTAGGTGCAACTTGAAGAAAATGTAGGTTGTTAGGAAAAGCAAAGCTGCTTTGCATGCATTACTGTCCATTGTTGTCTTTTTACTTGCCACTCTGCTTGAGCAAAAGGTACTTCTCTTCTCTGTTCCCACACACGCGTTTGCCCATGGACGTAAGTACTTGTCTGCCTTTGCAGTCCAGCTTCTGCTGGACACAAGACAACTTGCCAGGGGTTTAGCTTCAGCTTTAAATTTAATCAAGGAATCCAGAAGAACAGAGTATTTGGAGTTCCTGTATTTTAAAATGAATACTCAGGTTAGGTCCTGCTGTATAAAGAAAAAGGGAAATAAATGAGAAATAAGCACAATTTTCTGTGCTCTCTTAAAGCAGAACAGTGTTTCACTCAAAACATTTATGTCCTTTTAATCCTGTTCCTCTGGGGATAAACACACTGCCACTCAACTTGCAGGAATCTTAATTTCAGTGGATAGGCTACCAGCTATAGATCATAAAGGGCCTTTGCCTGAATTTAGATTATTGCAGTGACTAAAAAAAAAAAATTAAATCTATGGTTGATTTAAGCTTCAATAAAGAGCACTTTCATATCAATGTTTGGAGGGTGCTCTGGATGAAAAAGGTGCCAAGTGCATTAGTCTTGATAGAGCAGAGGCTGGGACTAACAAGCAGGAGATTGGTTGGTTGGTTTTTGAAGAAAGAGGACAAGGGGGCACAGCCAATGGGTTGCCCCCACTGCATCTGTTCTTCTCATGTGGTCAGTCCAAGGTGATGTCTGGAGGTTGGGGCAGCGGAGGAGGCTCAGCAAGGTGCAGGGAGCCAGGAAGCTGCTTTGATTCACCTGTGGGCAGTCTGCATACTCAGGGTAAGGGAGTGCCCAAATACCAGAGCTACCAAAGGAGGTTGTTGAGCAAAACCTAATTCTGAGTTTCTCAGAGCAAACAGGACAGGAGCTCCAGAAAAAAATAAACATACTTATCAATGAGGCTATTAAAGTAGGGCTTAGCCACTTACCTCTATACTGCTTTCTCTTTACTTATAGAACAGATCACTTATTCTCTGTGAAAAAGACTCTTTCTGTCTTGACACTTGGCATTTGGCCCTGGGCAAATGCCAAAACCAAGGGATTAAATGGTGAAAAGGGGCAGGAGGGGGCTCACTGTCTCTCTGCCAGCTGGGAGCTCTGCCAGCTTGACTTGGGCCATACTTCTGAGTAGATTTAAAATCTGTCAATGAGGGGAGTGTGGTTTTTCCAGTGCTCAAACGTCAGCTGTCATTGATGTGTTAAGATCTGGCAGTACTAAGAGAGGTTCCCAACACAGAGCCACCCTCTGAGCTTGCAGACGGTGCAGTTGCAGATGGAGCGCTGCTCGTCCCTGTTGTCCTCAAGCGCTGGCACGACCCTTCCATGCAGAAGGAGGCAGAAGTGGGAAGTGTGGCTGCCTGTGCTGGAAGGAGGAGGGTGTTTGGAAAGGCAGAGTTGAGAAGCTGAGTGCAATAATTTCCTATTAACCCTGCCAGGCTTTCAAAAGGAGCCTGCTGCCGGGACAGTCTCAAATGGATGTCGAGATGCAGATCAGACCTTCAGAAGTGATGTTCCTATAAGCTTTCTTGGCTGCTGTTTCTCAATAAATGTTGATGCTTTGTGAAAGCAAGTTGTTTCTTCTTGTCAGGGACCTTGAAATAAGTGGTTTGAGTCTTGGGGCTTGTAATATCAAACCAGCAAATGCAGGGAACTGATGAGAGAGAAGAGAAAGAGCTTGAGGAGAAAAGTGGATGTTTGCAGGCTTATTGAGGTTTTTGCAATACAAGAAGTCCCAAGCAGTGGGAACTGCCTCTGACAGGGTTCTAAGCTACTGCAGACTTAGCTTAACTTTCCAAGTTAGTAAGATGTTTTCTCATGTTACTTTTTTTTTTCCCCCCAGATCCTGAATTGATGCCATTCCCACTATACCAGGATGCCCTACAGAATCCCCCAAATTCAAAATGGTGGGGCCACACATTTAGCCATTGGCTGACTTTGAGAGTAAGTTTACCCAAAGAAATGGGAAAAGCATTAATGAAAAATAAGCTTACAGAACAACTTTTCCTGCCAGCATCTCACCCAGAGCAACAGTGGCACTTAACAGCAGGAATTCTGCAAACCCAGCTCCGAGGCTGCTGTGTCTTCCAGAAGGACTCAAGCTCCACGTTTGACACAAAGTGCCTTGAGGCTTCTCCTGTTGGCCAACTTTCTGTGGGCTGTCTGTCCAAAGAGGCAAGTCCAGGATCTGAATTCTGTACCGGAGATTTGGGATCTCGCACCAAGGTACCTCGTGCCTCTGACAGCTTGACTCACACCGATGAGGAAGGACGGGCCGCGATGGTTGATGTTGGAGGGAAGCCAGATTCAAGAAGGAGCGCTGTTGCTGGTGCTGTGGTCCGCCTGGGTGAGAAGGCATTTGGGATGGTGAGGCAGAACCAGATGAAGAAAGGGGATGTGCTGGCAGTAGCCCAGATTGCAGGGATTCAGGGAGCCAAGCTGACCAGCCAGTTGATCCCCTTGTGTCACAACATCCCCCTCAGTCACGTTGAGGTGTCTCTGAGCCTGGATGAGACCAGGCATGCAGTGGTGATTCACAGTTCCTGCCAGACCTGGGGGAGAACAGGTGTGGAGATGGAAGCTCTGACAGCTGCCAGCCTGGCTGCCCTGACTGTGTACGACATGTGCAAAGCGGTGACTCACGACATCGTCATTGAGGAGGTGAAGTTGCTCAGTAAGACAGGTGGGCAGAGGGGAGACTTCTCGAGGGTCTAAATCGTATCCAGACACCTCCAGCCCTCCAGGTGACCACTGCTCATGTTCAGAACTTTTGCTCAGCTGGTGGGCCTGGAGACTTCAGCAGGGGTACCCTGCAGCCACCCTACGCCTCCAGCTTTGCCTTACCCTGTCAGCTTACCCCTGCATGAACAGTGGAGCCACTTACCTGTGTTAATAACCATGTGTGGTTTTTAGAGGTCAGACTCCTCCACTCTGCCCATACCTTCATTTCAGTGTCCTTACCATCAGCTTGAGCAAAGGTTCTAAATATACCACAGGGGTTTGGTTTTGGTTTGGTTTTTTTTGAAATATTCACAGCTGCTGTCATCACACCACACAACTGTGAGCTCTGGAAATGAGGCAAGTGCTGGAAGTGCTGTTATTTGGCAACTACGTTTAAGTGAAGGATTAAGTTTTCAGATTAATGCCTGTGCCCCTGACCTCCTTTAGTTGACTTTAGAAGGTGACAGCGAGAACACCACAGCTTGGGAACCTTACCATATAGCAGAGTTTATAACCGTGGAATAGCCAGGGTCAGAGGGGCAGCTCCCATCCCTTTGCATTGCTACTGCTTCCCTTGCCTGCAATTTGGAAACTTCCATGTAGCAGTTTCAAAAGACAAAAAAAAAAGATGTCAGCTGCCCAGCAATCTGCCTTGAGTGCTCGGTAAAACATGATGTAGAAACAGGATTTCTGGGTTTGGAAGAGTTATTTTGCTGATCTGAAAGATACCTTTTACAATGTTAGAAGCATGTTCCAGCATTTTGACTTTAGTGCTCAAATATACCCAAGGCCCTGTGTCTGCATGCTTAAGGGCTTAATTAGGCCATGCACAGAAGTAGGACTCAGCTCTCCTTGATCTGTGTCACACCAAGGCCCAGAAGACTCCACTTTTTTAATCCTACAGTGCAACTGCAAGCAACCAGCAACCTGCACAGTCCTGATAGATAAAACACACTTAAGGACTGGTAGCTGCTTGGAAGAGCAAGGTAGTTGCTGTTGCCCCAGCCAGAGTGTTTTCCTGCATGTTTATTTATTTTGCTTTCACAAAGCAAAGTGCCAGAAGAGCATTTAAATATCCCCATAAATATACCAGGTGGCTACTGTCTTGTAGCACTAAATAGCTTTGATAATTGAATATACTATGTAAGAAATTACTTGACATTGTTTTGTCAATACTGATGGATCCTTTTCAAATGTTAATTTAAATGCTCTAAACAGGGTATTTTCAACTTTGGTTTACTTGTTTTCTAGTGCTTATGGCTAATGTGAAGTTGCATATGATGCAGGGTGCTCCCTCTCCATACGCACAGAGAGTTGAAGACAGCTCTAATAACATCTGAGAGGCCACTGAAAAAGTGTCTTAAACTTTGCAAGTAGCTGCTTATCACAAAATTAAGGTTAAATTACTGTGAGTGTCAATAAAGCACACACCAGTCACGCACATCCTGCTCACTTAAAGCACAGCTTTAAGATGAGGAGGCAATAGGTTTTACTACAGATGTTTTTGCTTATACTTTCCATATCTCATAGTTACCACAAAAGGCACTTTTTCCACTGCAAATGAATTACTTTGATTCTTCATTCACTGTCACTGTGACATAAGGCACGTGTGATGATGCACATAGCAGCTCCAGCCAATGCTGAGGAAGCTCAGGAAAGAGGAAGGCGTCTGGAAAGCATTGGTGCCCAATCTCCATAAACATTTGTACACCAACATCCAGTGTTACAGTTCTGATTCCCTCAATAAAATGATGCTTTGGGGCATATGAGTTTTCAGCTTCTGAGAAGTTTGCTATCATAATGCTCTAAAGCTCACACAAAGGGTTCAAGACCGCACAAAGGAGTACAGAGCACATGCACATTTCACTGCTTCCTTGGGTTGAGACTGCCTAGGAGCTTTGGGCAGACAGACTTTGGTGCCATTTTCTGCTCCTGTTACAGTATAACGTCCTGAAACTATGCACATTTCTAGATAATAAACCAAGCATAAGTCAACAGAGCATTTTGTGAGAGAAATGAGCTGATAGCACTGTGTGTTTTGGTGGTGCTGGATGAGCAATGGTGATACATATGTTGACAAACTGACTACTTTTTGGAGGCTTGCTTTTTTTTTTGTCCACTGCATTTTTAATAAATCCTAGTTGTAATTTAGTGTGTTTCACATTCTTTTGGCTACCCTTTTCATTCATTCCAAGGAACATCTGTGGCTTAATCCATGAGCTGCTGTGAAGTGTTAACTCAAGCACCAAGACAGACGTTGTAAGTTGTGCTGATTAGTCAGCAATTAGCAAGGGATCAGTCGCAGTAACTTATTACTGTCAGGAATCTACAATTTCTTTTCTGTTGTTGAGTGAAACTCATCTCTATCTGGCTGTTCTTAAACTGAGTAATCCTGTAGGCTTAGCATCGTAATTTATCATCTCTCAGAGAGTGTTATCCCTGCTTCCTGCATGTTCCGAGGCAGTGGATGTGGATAACAGAGGGAACTGGAACCTCTCCCTCTCAATCTGAGCAACTGAGGTCTGGGGAAGTGCTGCAAAGAAGTCCATCCCTTCCATGTCTGATCCATCTGAGCTCCCAGGAAAGCTCTCACTTCTGTGACCATCCAGAAGGCCTCCTTCGACCTGAGGAGGTTGAGTTGGTCACGCTGGTTGCTGTAAGCATGCTGCCCCAGGGGATGCCAAGGGCCTCCATGCAGAGGCACAGCAGCAGGGACTCTGCAAGAGGGCAGAGACAGCTTGAGTGTCTGTCTCTCTTCGGGTACAGCCTCCAAATGCTGATCTTGGGAGGATAGCACAAAGCTTTATATCCCTTTGTAGGAGCTGCTTCCTAATTTGAAACCAGGTTTTTGTACAGCACCAAGCCCACCCCCTCCTTCTTCTGAAGGATGCCTTAAGTGCACCAGTCACACCGCTTGCAGAAGGCACCATGAATGCAAAGCAAATACTGCAGCTCCTGGCAGCCCTCATTGCGTGGGCAAGACAGCTTTTTCCTGCTGGGAACTCTCACTTGTCCCAGCTCGTGTCCCGTTTGTGCGTGACTGCCTGCTCCCCGCTAATCCAGCGTCTGCAGTGCCAGCTCAGCCTGTCCCTCCTTCAGGGCCACGTCCCGAGGCCACTTCCCACCCTCACGCTGCCCTGGAAAAAAACGATGTGGCACGCATAGGAGAAGCCAGGCACTGAGTACTCTTAAAGAGAGACTGTCAGAGCAGTGCTTGCAAAAAGTGGGGAGGGAAGAAGACTGGGGAACAGAGGGAAGGTATGGCTTGAAATAGCTTAGGAAGGGACCTCTTCTGCATGAGAACTGCTCAAAACCAGACTCTAAAACCAACAACAGCTGAGCACTAAAAATGGGAATATTTTTTTTAGCTATTCTAAGCCACTGGTGACCTTCAGTAATGCTCCTTAAGTCGTTACTCAGCTTTACGTGGGATCTGAGTGAACAGAACCTGGCCCTTCGTGCCACCCCTTCCTTGGCCCTTCGCTGGTTTGCAGCTCCTTCAGGCTGCCCAGCAGCAGTCCTGCAGACCTATAACAGCTTAAAAAATGGCTGCAACATCGTGTGTGCTTTGGCCAGGACGCAGGACGGCTAATTAATTAAATGGAAACACAGTTCACTCCCCTCCACTTACCCGAGCCTTGCTCCTGGAGAAGCTCAGCATTTCAGGAAAAATAAAAACAGTTGGAGGAGTCGCTGGTCCAGTGGCCTGATAAAGATTTCATCTTTTCAAGACTTCAAGTGAAAGCCTCAAGTTTGGTCTCAAAGGCCACTGGATCTGAGGTGACCTGCAAAGCCATGACGATGGCAGGCAAACCCCTGATCTGTCTGGCAGCTCCAGGAAAAGGCACAGGGTGGAGCGGCCAAATCCTTTTTCTTAGACTGGGTCTGAAGGGCTTTGGGTCAGCTCGGTGCACCCTGCCGTAAGAGCAGAGTCTCATTTTGGTCACAAGCAGCTTTTACAGCAGTAGCTGAGACACAGATCCAGCTACCTCCACTTCTCTCTGTCAGTGCCATGTTTAGAAAGCCTCCAGTTTAGCATCTCTATTTCTGTACAAACCTTTCTGTTTGCTCCTTCGGGGACTGAGCATTACTCAAAATAACAGTGGTGAAGTGCAGCTGAGGGCAAGTTTACCCGAACGGCCAGGTGCCCCAAGACACTGCTGAGCTTTGCTCCGAGGAGAGCTGTTCACAACCCAACTGTAACAGTGTGGCCATGGCCATCAGACAAGCTGCCCTGTATCCCGGGCTCTCCGAGGTGCCATCCACGCACCACTTGCTCCATGAAGCAAAGCTTCACACTTCATTACTGCTTAAGGGTTGCTGCCAGAACCCCAGATTAGCAACAGTATTACACAGACAACAGCTTCATCAACAGAGGGAAGAGAGTTTATCCTCAAATTCTGGGGAACCTGCTCAAAACCAGAAACTCTCGGTACTACTAGGCTGTTCCTGCATGGATTCAGTCTTTAAATAAACACAACAGAAACACTCCTTTCTACACCCATGATACTTCCAGGGCACACGGCTGAAAGGACATACGGCCAGCAAAAGCAAAGTTTCTGGTTCCAAAGTCAAGGGCAGCCTGGCTGCAGTGTGACAGGAG